CTCTCTCTCCCTCTCTCCCTCCCTCCCCCTCCTTCTCTTTCTGACATCCTTCAATTCTCTCTCGCTTACTCTTTTCTCTCATATTGTCACCCTACCTCTAGCGTTGACGCAAATCATTTTCGGAATATCAAACACCTCTGACAGAACGTCCCAATGATTTCCCACCCCGTTTGCCCTTTTGCAGCATAGCGACCCTTTGACACCCACCGCGACTCTTTTCACGAGACCTCGCGTTCGCCAGGCGCCGCCGGCCATTTGTTGAGATTGCTGACGCATTTTTTTCCGCGGTGCCGATACATCTCGCTGCACCACTCGTCAAAATCACCGGGTACGCGAAAAATAGGTAGAAAGTCCGGCAAAAGCTTGCACGTGGTTGGACGTGTGAGCACGAAACAGCCCGTGGAATCGCCACCTCCCTCCTTTCCACCTTTCCACCACCTCGATCTGACCGCTGTGTGCTGATCGTCCCTGTACACCGTGCGTCCCGGATCTCGCACCCGTGAATGTTATATGCCGGGTGGATGGTCACCCACCCCCTCGCGCTCGACCACCCCCTTCGCAGTCCACAGCCCGGCCCGGCACGACCCTACCGCCCTGCCGCGCGCGCGGCCCACTACACGTCTACGGCAGAAAATTAATGTCCCCTGCAATCCATGTATAATGCATTCGCATTTCGTTCAACGAACAAATGAACGCACTGCTAGAAAATTTACGTCCCATCTCGCTCACGGCCGAGCGTCTTTTCTCTTGTTTCGACCTCTCTCTTTCTCTCTCTCTCTCTCTCTCTCTCTCTCTCTCTCTCTCTCTCTCTCTCCCTCCCTCCCTCCCTCTCTCCCTCCCCCCTCTTTCTATCTCTCTCTTACTCTCTTTCTCCTCTCTTTTTGTTTCTGTTTCTCGTTCGTTCTATTCTCTTTCTCTTTCCCTCTTTCTCTCCATCTATCCCTCGCACGGGAATTCGCGAGCGGAAACGAGCCGGCCCTGACCAACTCGCGGCCGTGCTCGCTCATTCTCTCTTCCGGCCTCGCGTTTCGCCATCCCCGCTTCGC